GGTATATTTATGAAAAAAAAATCAAAAAAAGATTAAAAAATAAAAAATTCGGTTTCGACGTGAGGATCGGTTCCGTTTCTCACGCAGAAGGCCACGAGCGCGGTGCCAAATGCTCTTCCCGGTTCGTTTCTAGTATCTCGGAAATGGTGAAACGCCCAAAAGTCAGTTTTCACTTTTGACTGATTTTTTATGGCCTCTATGTACTAGCAACTTTTCGATTGATCCTTTTTAAGTAGAACAAGTTCAAATGGATTGTACGCCCACTAAAAATTCTGAGTTCTTCTATAAAATTTTTTATCTATATGTTTTTTATATAAAAAAATATTTTTTATTTAAAATCTAACCTACCACTCTACCAGAGTGAATATGAATTCGAAACATTTTTTTTCATCCATGTCTGCCAAATATAGTTGAATGTCAGAAATGAAGGAGGTTGTTTGGTTGCCAGCCTTAACTCGTGAAGCTCAGCTTCGGCGACCACAGAAAAAACAGAGAGTTGTTTAGGCGCGCCACAGAGCTTTCAGTTCATTGCAACGCGTTTTCGCGTCACAGTAGGGGTGATGATTTTCCACACCACACTTTGTGGCTGCCACAATTGTGGCGTGCCCATGTGCGGGCGAAATCCAAACAACTCCTAGAATAGTAAGTGATAAGGCCACGCCTACGATGTCTAATAATTTGTCCCAATCTTTCACGATGCAAATACTAAAATAAATGTTTCTGAATATTTTCTCCAATATAATCGCAGCCGCTAAAATACTTGACAACTGTAGCTGAATATTTAATCTTTCAAGCACCAGCATTGTATTCAATTTGACAAGGAGTCCGTATAGCAGTACTAGGCAGTATGCGACTCTCCAACAACAATATCAAGCCAATGAGGAACCAGGTGGATTTACAGTATCAAAACCAGCACATAAATCTCTTGACAATTTTTAGATGCTAACAAGCACACTTGATAGATGAACGACAGCACCAAATAACTTTCTCTCAATTAAGGAACTCAAACAGTAGCTGCGATAAATAGAGGGATCAGCTTACAATAGATGATGCAAACCAAACCCTAGGATAATCCTTCCACCCACGGCCACGACGAACCACGATCAGAAGATGGAGAATTGAATCAAATCCAGCACGAGTCCACGGATCAATGCTCAGGTACACACCAACACAAATCATCGTAGAGATCCGGAACGGTAAACCTCTAGGGTTTCACGAGCGACGGCTCGACGGAAAATAACTCCACGAATAAAATCCAATCGAATCTGTTACAAGGGGACACCCCTAGATAAAGGCACGCAGGCCCAACTCCACCGAACCAGACTTTGGACCAAGTCCGACTTGGCCTACATGTGCACGACGCCAGAATTGGCCTGGCCAAAATTAGTGCACGCAGGCACCATGACACATACAGGGATAATAATATAATATTACGGCAACATTGCTAGTCACCATACTAATAATCAATTGCCAAATAAAGTTGACGTCTGGCTAGGCAACCCTTTATCTCCACGTGCGTGGTCTCTATAAAGACATATTTGCTTGCTGTCCTTGTTCTCCTCTTTTCCAAACAATAAAGCACCTCTAAAAATATATGTGATGATAGACCAACACAAGTAAATTTATCCAGGTTCTCGCTATATTTCTCATCAAAAATTATAGCTCCAAATTGAAGGCCAATTACCCTATTCGAAATAGGAGAATACTTTTTCGCAAATATACTTTGAGAAGCCATGGGTTCATCATCCTCTCTTTCTTTAAACAAAACCGTCCTCGGCTTTGATATATTCTCATGTGTATCTTGTGCATCAAATGTATTTTGAAAAACCATGGGTTCATCATTCTCCCCTTCTTGAAACAAAACCGTCCTCGGCTTTGATACAAATTCAGACCCTTTTTTATTTGGTTGACCAAGACTTATATGCTTGCATTGAATAGCATCAACCAAATTGTTCTCATCAGCTTTTTCATTGCCACGAGAACCAAACTGTTTAGCATGACTACCAGCCAAAATATTGAGATCGTTACACAAATCTCTGTAAGCCATATTTGGAGAACCCACAGAATACACGTCTTCATGAAACAAAATAGTTCGTGGCCTTGAGATTTCATTGAATGATTCATTATTAGTTGAAGCAACAACCACATCATGCTCCCCAAATTGCATAGAAGATTTATTTAGAGCTGCTTTTGCAATTTCAGACCCGTTGCAAGTTGCTTCAGAAGCTATACCATTTTCTCCCTCTAGAGCTAAATCCACCATCGGCTTTATTATAATTTTAGAAAAATTATTTGCAGTTCCCTTCACTGAAGTGTTCACAGTATTCTCTCCCTCTTGAAGCAAAGCCGTCCTCGGCTTTGGGGTAATTTCAGTAACCTTTTTCTTCATTTTCGAAGTAGCAAATACCTCAGCCTTAATAGCACTATTAGGAATTGGTTTGAACACATGATTAACTCCCTTGTGCACAAACGAATAATTATTAGAACGACCACCATGAGTAGCATCAAGATCAAATTGCCATGGTCGACCCAACAACAAATGACATGCAGTCAATGGTGCAACATCACAATCCACAGTATCAATATATGTTCCAACTGAAAATTTAACTCTAGCCTTATGAGTAATTTTCAGTGTACCACTTTGATTCATCCATTGCATATAACGTGGCGTTGGATGCCTCCACGTAGATAAAGACAAAGCATGAACAACATCTAAGCTAATGACATTAGTAAAACTACCACCGTCAATAATTAGTTTGCATACCTTATCCATAATTGTGCATTCCGACTTAAATATGCTAGAGCGTTGTCCCTTCACGGTAGCAACAGTACCATCACTATGTATTTTACTTGCCATCATAGATAATCCATCATCAATTTTATGCTCAGACTGAGTATCACAAGAAGAAGCACTAGGATACAGCCGCGATGTAGAAGAAAGATCAGCACTCCCATGCATAACTGTCGGTTCATGCACTGCAGCCTTCTGCAACAACTGAGAATCTGCTTTCTTCAGTTGCTTAGAACTATCAATTGGCTTGGTGGTTAGAGATTTGGAGCCATACACTTCAGCTACCATTTTCCTTGATCAAAATGGAGAAAGAAATAGGCGTTGTAGTACAACCTTCATATCGCTCCATGTCCAACAAAGACATTCTTTGTCATAGTCAATCCACCAATAAAAACATCGTTAGCTAAAGTCTTTTCTGCATAATATATCTCTGACTGTTGGAGTGGACGACCCCGGAAGAAATCCTCCAGACTTTCTTCCCAATCAAAATACTCTAGGTGACTAGATGTTAGAGATAGCTTTGGCAAAGATTTAACTTCCTTGAGCAATTTCAAATCAACCATTGAAAAAGAAAATCCAAATGCACCGTGAGCAACCCAGAATCCGACACCAATCTTTCACGGCGCAAATACCAAAATAAGTGTTTCTGAATATTTTCTCCAATATAGTCGCATCCGCTAAAATACTTGACAACTGTAGCTGAGTATTTAATCTTTCAAGCACTAGCAGGCAATATAAAGAGACGTCGGATGATGACTAGCAGGCAAACATACACAATGATTATATTGTATTCAATTTGACAAGGAGTCCGTATAGCAATACTAGGCAGTATGCGACTCTCCAACAACAATATCAAGCCAATGAGGAACCAGATGGATTTACAGTATCAAAACCAGCACATAAATTTCTCGACAATTATTAAATGCTAACAAGCACACTTGATAGATGAACGACAGCACCAAATAACTTTCTCTCAATTAAGGAACTCAAACAGTAGCTGCGATAAATAGAGGGATCAGCTTACAATAGATGATGCAAACCAAACCCTAGGATAATCCTTCCACCCGCGGCCACGACGAACCACGATCAGAAGACTGGGGAATTGAATCAAATCCAGCACGAGTTCAAGAATCAATCCTCGGGCACATACAAACATAAATCATCGCAGTGATCCGGAACGATAAACCTCTAGGGTTTCACGAGCGGCGAATAAAATCCAATCTAATCTGTTAAGGGGACACCCCTAGATAAAGGCACGCAGGCCCAACTCCACCGAACCAGACTTTGGACCAAGTCCGACTTGGCCTACATGTGCACGACGCCAGAATTGGCCTGGCCAAAATTAGTGCACGCAGGCACCATGACACATACAGGGATAATAATATAATATTGCGGCAACATTGCTAGTCACCATACTAATAATCAATTGCCAAATAAAGTTGACGTCTGGTTAGGCAACCCTTTATCTCCACGTGCATGGTCTCTATAAAGACATATTTGTTTGCTGTCCTTGTTCTCCTCTTTTCCAAACCATAAAGCACCTCTAAAAAATATATGTGATGATAGACCAACACAAGTAAATTTATCCAGGTTCTCGCTATATTTCTCATAAAAATTATAGCTCCAAATTGAAGGCCAATTACCCTATTCGAAATAGGAGAATACTTTTTCGCAAATATACTTTGAGAAGCCATGGGTTCATCATCCTCTCTTTCTTTAAACAAAACCGTCCTCGACTTTGATATATTCTCATGTGTATCTTGTGCATCAAATGTATTTTGAAAAACCATGGGTTCATCAGGAAGGACATGTCATCGAGGCCCAAATTAATCCGCTGGATCCATACCTTTGGGCCACCAATGTTCATGGCACCGTTCAATCATTCTTGCATCCAAGGCCACTTTTGAAACCCATTTTGTTTTTTAACCACACCTTTATCCTTTTTTCCCCTTATTTATTATTATATTAATCACAGATCCATGAAGGATGTCATCTAAAAAAAATCCATGAAGGATGTGGTGGAGACAAGGCCGTACTTCCATTTTGGAGTCCGATTTCGGCCTAGATGTGCCTTTCACACTATGGGCCTTCTGCTGGGCTCCTTGCGGCCCAGCCCAATGAACATGGATAACCGACCTCAGTTAATCCGCTAAACAATTTACCAGCCCACGGCCGCGAGACTCTGCGCGGCTTCCCTCTCGTCGCCGACATGCCGAAGCGGGACCGCGACAGCGAGGGCCGGCGGCGCTCGTCGTCGTCTCGGCGGCGGCGCAGCCCGTCCCCGTCCGGCTCGGACGCCGCCTCCGATTCCAGCGGCTCACCCGGCCGGAGCCGGGGACGCCACCGTCGCAGGAGCCACCGCCGGAGGGACACCCCGTCCTCCAGCGACGCAAGCGGCAGCGGGAGCGAGGATTCGGGGTCGGACTCCGGACGTCGGGGAAGGAGCGGCGGCCGAAGGCGCCGGGATGTCACCGAGGAGCAGATCATTGAGTACATGGCGAAGAAGGCGCAGAAGAAGGTATGGGATTGAGCTGTTGAAGTGGTGGCTTTCCCTTTGATTGGGTTGGGATTAGGGTTGCGGTCTGGGCTCTAATTGCTGACTCGTTGTTGGCGGCGGTGGATGCGTAGGCGGAGAAAGTGGCGAAGAAGCTGAAGGCGAATGCGGTTTCTGGCTACTCCAACGATTCAAACCCCTTTGGCGATCCCAACCTGACAGAGAAGTACGTGAATTCTTTTCCCTCTCATATGAAATTGTGCAGCAATTCAGTAATTCTTGTTATCTGGGGAAAAGATTTTGGGTCTAATTTGCCCAGTCTTTCTGGGGAGAAAAAAAAAAAAACAACGCCAAAATAGCTAATAACCACCAAAGGAGAGAGAAACCTACAGAGAGTTGGGAAGCAGGGGCTATTTTATGCTAGAACTAGAACTGAGAAAATCGTGCAGGATGTCGTACATTGACAAAACTAGTTCAACAATTGTCACCTATAACACCATTGCAAACATCTTAACACTCTTACTTACCCATGTTGTATCCAAATAAATACTGCTGCTAATGGCACCTATAATAAGACTATCAATAGAACTAACTTGTTGTGGCAACTAGTGGCATGCTCTAGATGATTGTACCTGGGCAGATATCGGGGTGGTTTCCTGGTACATAAATACTGTTTATGCGGTGATAAAATTGTAATGGTATTTAACATTACCTGTAACAAAGCTGATTTAGGTTGCTGGACGCAACTAATAGATCAAGGGAAAAAATTCACTTGCTGACTAATTAGGTTATTGTGGTAACAATTCATGAAGAGTTGAACTAACTTAGGCTGTTGTAATTTTAAAAGTAAAACATAGAAATGAAAGTGGAGCTTAGTGATGCTCGAGCCAGTAAGCATCCATTGTTATTATCTCTGACATGATAAAATCTAGTAGGCGGCTAGTTTTGCGAAGTTTTTTTTTAATACAATTTTCTTACATCACCATGGGGATTTTGTTTGTTGTTTCAATGGCTTATGTAGTTTTTTTCACAAGATGGTTATGGTACTTTTAAACAAAGTTTTGGATTTGTAGACTTGTAGTGTTGTTCATTCGAATTTGCTTAATTATTTTTGCCTTTGTTCCCTTGTGTGCCCAATCTTGAATTATTGATATATATCCTTTCAGACACCATATTTTTGCCTTATAGTTTGGCATATTCTTGCACTTTATGTTCACACTCTTCTGATAATATGTTTACCTTGGGATATGATTTCTAATGTTTGCACATATTGTCAAGTAAACTAAAATGTTTGTGGCTTCCTTGAGCACCCAAATTATTTGCTACCTTCTTTTTGCATTACCACTATAAGGTTCCTTGAGCAGCTGCTTTCATTGTGACAAAACAATATTCAAAGAAGGATGCCTTCTATCTTGTCTCTTTACAGTTTTGTGTGGCGAAAGAAGATAGAGCGTGATGTATCTCAGGGACAGAAGGTGGACATTTCTGTCAAATCTGAGAAGAAGAAACAGCAAGAAAGAATGGTACAATGGAACATGAATTTCTGGACTAGTTCTCTATATCTAATCCCATTGTTTATTAGTTGGAACTTTAGAGCATATCGTAGTCATCCTACCTCCTTACTTGGATGTCTACTTCCAATGAATTAATAAGGTGTACTGTACATATGTATTTTTTTATATTCATGCTTTTGTCATGTAGTGCACTGTACACTTTGCTAGCCAGAAAATTTGTTGTTCAGTCTTCTTTCAAAGAAAAGTTGAAGATTATGTTTTTCTTGCAGTGCCTAATCGTTATATTCGCTCTGTCAAATGTAGGCTGAAATAGAGAAGGTTAAGAAAAGAAGGGAAGAAAGAGCAATTGAAAAGGCACAGCATGAAGAGGAAATGGTTTGTATTTGTCGATCATAAATCTCTTTTACAATAATTTTGTTGGTTTATGTCTATCATTTATTACATTCAGACAGTTTTTCCATTTGGAATTAAATACATGTACTTGCCATTTTGAAGGCATTGCTAGCTAGAGAAAGAGCACGTGCCGAGTTTCAAGACTGGGAGAAGAAAGAGGAAGAGGTTAATATCTTAAAACCTGACAAACACTATTCAATTTGTAAAAAGGGCGTACCTAGTGCTGAGAGCATCCCGCACTGTGCGGGGTCTGGGGAAGGGTATTAGCAGCAAGCCTTACCCTTGCGATGTGCAAATGCAAGGAGGCTGCGGCTCGAACCCAGGACCTTCCGGTCACAGTCGGTAGTACTCTACCACTTGCACCAGGCTCGCCCTTCAAACACTATTCAATTTGTGTTGGAGTTAATATGGAATTGTTATTTATCTAGCATTTCTCATTTTGGAGTGCAGTTTCATTTTGACCAAAGCAAGGTCAGGTCTGAGATCAGGTTGCGGGAGGGGCGTACAAAGCCTATTGATGTTCTCCTTAAGAATCTTAATTTCTCAGATGGATTTGACATTGAGTTAAATGAGCCCTATCTGGTGTTCAAGGTGAGCATCCTTTGTTCATCCTTATCCAATTGTAATTCAACTGAAAAAAGTGCTGTCCCAGCAGCACTTACCTGTGTAATTTTCTGTATGGTTTTTAAAGCCAACTATTGTATAATATTCTGACACCATCATACAGTGCATTCAAAATATATGCATTTTATAACTTAGCACTTCCTGACATGTATGTGTAGGGATTAACAGTGAAAGAAATGAAAGAGCTACGTGATGACATTAAGATGCATCTTGATCTGGACAGGGAAAGCCAAACAAATGTTAAGTACTGGGAGGTATATGTCATTTTCTTTCACCTTTTTCCTGAATAACTTGTTGGCATTAAGATGCATGATAATGTTACCTTCTTCCTGAATAACTGTGAGCAAGATGTATAAAATGTATAGTTTTTTATGTTGAAAATGCTAAGTATGGAACAATGTACTCCTAACTAGGGATTGTGGTGGGATACAAAACTGACAGTAGCCTCCATTTTCCTATAATAGATTTTATTTGGTTAGGAAAAAATGCTTTAGTTTGTCATGATATATCTCTAACTTCGTATATATAATTTCCCCTCAGTTCCTTACAGAAACTTGTTCATATGATTAGCAAGAATGCTAATGCATTATGTCTATGTTGATCTGAAAATTTATCAGGCACTCATGGTGGTATGCGAATGGGAGCTAGGTGAGGCTCAGAAAAGAGATGCCCTAGATCGGGCTAGGGTCCGTGGTGAGGAACCACCACCTGAGGTTCTTGCAGAAGAGAGAGGTTTGCATGCAAGTATTGAGGGGGATGTAAAAAGTCTCCTGGATGGTAAAACTTCCACAGAGCTTGAAGATATGCAAAGTCAAATTGAGTCCCAAATGCGCTCTGGAACTGCAAAAGTTGTTGAATACTGGGAAGCTATCCTGAAACGGCTTCATATTTACAAAGCAAAGGTATGCCAGTGGGTCTGCAAATGCCAGTCTATCCATACCGTTATACAAAGTAAAACGATGCATTTTTTTTTTTGAAAATAAGGAAGCATGGGTTTATTGACTAGGGCCTCAGTAATAGGCAAAAGGCGCTACTTTGCCACCACTGGTTGGTTGGTAACCTGTGGTGCAGTTGCATGATCTGAACTTCTTTACAGGCTTATTACAGTAATCCTTTATAATCTAGAGCTGAGCTATTACATTGAACTTCTGAATTTTGATTTTGCAGTTTATACTTACGAAAAATGCTTGTTTGCATCGCAGGCTTGCCTGAGGGAGATCCATGCTTCTATCCTAAGGAAGCATTTACATCGACTGGAGCATCCTGGTGCTGTTGAACAGGATGTGGAATCTGAGAAAGAAGATGATAATAAACTGGAGGATGAGATGCATGAGGACGAAGGTTTACCTTCTTTTCTGATTACTCAATCAACTATGTTTCCAAGATAATGAAGTGATTTCTGATGTATGTTCTATTTGTAGATGATAAACGATATTCGCCTGAGCCTATACCTCAGCACACAGAAAACCAATTTGAAGAGGAAGATGGATCCTTCTCTCCACAGCTAATGCATGGCAATGAAGATGAAGATGCAATTGATCCTGAAGAGGACAAAGCTGAGCTGGTAGAGTCCTGTGTTTCTATTTCTAATAGTATTAATAGAAACATGATTGGAACTGTACTAGTTATTTGCTGCAGTGCAGTTAACTGAGTAGTTTAATTGTCAAATACAGATTCTTAGTAACTAGACTCCATATTATGCAACAAAAGAGGCTAACTAACAATATTAGGACGAAAGGTTCTACTGATATTTTTTTCATTAAGAAGACAACCTTTCAAGCTTCTGCAGGCCTTCCTGCATGTCTTACCCTAAGAGGGGGGCCATTGATTCATTTAGATCTTACTTTTGATGGCAATGCTCCTTATGGTGACTTAAATTTGAGGGCTTTCTAGAGTTCATATACAAACACAATGGGTGAAGATTTTTCTTAAGAACATCAAGTTATTAGGGTTTATTTTATGAGTTGATTAGATGATTAGAATGAGGTTGGCAACTCATACTTAATGCTTTTAATCATCTCCAGGACCGAAAACGTGAAGCTGTAGTTTTGGAGCATCAAAGGAAAGTTCAGGAAGCCATGAAAGCAAAGGCAAGAGTACCTGATGAGATGGAGATGAAGGCCATAAAAACGATGGGAGCTATGGAGGAAGGAGATGCAGTATTTGGTGTCGGTGCTGAAGTGAACCTTGATTCACAGGTTTGGATGATTTTCCTTTGATCCCATTGCGTTTTTATCTATATCTTCCAATATTCTGCCTTGATAGTGGATTAGCGAGAGAGTTCTCATAATTCAACTGGGATATGGTGTGACTGTGACAATTTTTAGTGTTGATCCAGAAGGACCGATGGTTATCTTGCTATAATCTGGACTATATATAACACACCTTAAGCTACACCAAAATTTTCAAATAATCTGTTGACTCATGTAATTGTAGTTGAGTATATTTTGACAGTTTAATATAGGGGTAATGCCATATTTGAGTTCGATACCATGGGTGGTAACAAGTTTTACACACAAGAAGCGTGATTTAGCAACTTTGGTGCATCCTACCGCTTATGAACTCAGCTGGTTTCTGATGGCATATGCTTGTTCAATATGCTCGCAGGTGTACTGGTGGCACGACAAGTATCGACCAAGAAAGCCCAAGTACTTCAATCGGGTGCACACTGGATATGAATGGAATAAATACAACCAGACTCATTATGACCATGATAACCCACCGCCTAAAATTGTTCAAGGCTACAAGTTCAATATATTTTACCCTGATCTTGTCGATAAATCAAAAGCACCAACGTACAGTATAGAGAAAGATGGAAGCACTGGTGAGACTTGTCTCATAAGATTTCACGCCGGCCCTCCATATGAGGATATTGTAAGCCTTGTGCCTTCTAATGTTTCGATAGATTTTTCCATGGGCAGTCTTTTCACTTTGTTTTATTCCACAGTCTTTCCGTATTGTGAACAAGGAGTGGGAATACTCACACAAGAAGGGGTTCAAGTGTACATTTGAACGTGGGATTCTCCATCTCTATTTCAACTTCAAGCGTCACCGTTACAGGCGTTGAGATACCTCAAGAGGCAGGGAAAAACTGGATCGATTGGACTGCTGGATCGTGATTCTGGTGTACCCTGGCATGGATACCAGTCAAGTATGCACCTGCAATATATTGATCCTATGCCAAATGAGAGCACACCTTTTGGCTGTACTGACTGATTCCCCCTTTGGGAGGCTGTACGATAATACAACATAGCAAGCTGATAGTTTTCTATCAAAATTTTTATGCTTGCTAGTTTCTACTTTGGTAGAATTGATATGAGGATATCTGTACTAGAGATTGTGTAAACTTAGCTCTGTACATGTGTGCTACTGGTATACACCGGATGCCCTTCTATTTCTATGAAATTTTCTTGAGCAACGAAATAATATTACTCCTACTAGTGCTGTTCCAAGTAGCATGGTCTGCGGTTGCTCTTGTATCTAAAGCAGCTTGTAACTGGCAGAATGGCCGTGACATGCCGTCTCTGTGCCGTAAATACCGCCGAGCAAAGACGTGACCAACTCAGCAGCACAAATCATTGGCTGACCGATTGTAGAGTTGTCTGTGCTTGTTGTACTCCATACACCTGTACTAATAACTGTATGGGATCTAAAATGAGAAGCATTACTTGCTTTCGCAACCAAAGAGCGATATTAGCAAGTGATCACACATGCCAGCCGCTAGAGACACTAGGAAGCTGGGCTCTGCAGCTAGTTAGATCCCATCACTTGCAACCATGAGTGTCGCCAAAGGTACCGACGAACCACTTCAACCATGAAAGGTTATGCTGCACCCAGAAACTGAACTAGAATAACGTCTTGTGATGTAGCCAACTTAAAAAACCATGACCAAACAGCAAAGAGTAAATCTTACTCAATCCTTTCTCCAGCAGATACATACCAGAAACAACAAGAGAACTTGCTATCTTGCAACACCAGTTAAAACTTAAGCTTAAAGTTGCCACATTCATTTGGTTCTGCGGACTCATTTGGAAGTCAAAGGTCCAAGCCACTAACCACTAGATGCAGCATGTGACTTCTACAAGGACCTGACCACCCAAGGTTCAGAACCAAATATCAATCAAAATGGCTGGGAAAATACTTCATGTTAATATCTCCAGAAAAATAACATGTCACCCAGACTAAGCAGGAAAGCAGATAAGATAATAACTGATCAAACAGAAAGCAGGCAAGAACATAAAACTTATGGAGTGCTTGCATTGGTTTCATCCAAACAGAGTTTTAGGCCTTCAAGACCAAGCTCCAGTCATAACCTAGCTACTCCGAATACCAAGAGATGAAAATATGAGCAACTAGCTCAATGTCAAGGACAAGTCACTCATAAGATTACCAGAAACATCCATAAAAAGAAGAGAACATCCCATCATCTAGCAAAAAGAAAGCTTGAATGCCGAACTTGGAGCAGCTCAGCAGTAGAACATAACGTCCTACACGTTGTCCTTGATCTTTGGAAGTTGACGCACCTCCACAGGCCCCTCCCGGGCTACTGTCTGCCCGCTGCTGCCAGGGGTTGACCCACCATCTGAGCTTTCACCTTCCACATAGTAGCGTGCACGGAATGCGGCAAGGTGGGCGTAGTAGGCTGGCGGGACTGGAAAGCAAAGAACACCCCATTAGTGATGACTGGTAACCAACTATTTTGCATCTAGTCTACATCATAAAAGAGCACAAGGAAATGATGCATGGTTCAAGAAAGGGGCTCTTGCATTTTTACCCTTGCTTTGTATCGAAATTGTGATTTTGCTCCTGTTTTTTTTTTTTACTTTATAAATTTACGCCTTTGTTTTTGAAACGAAGCACCACTTTATCCCTATTCCGTCATCCTCCCCTAACAGTGTTACATTTTATACAAAAGGACAGAAATGCCCATGTGATTTTGCCCCTGTTTGTTATGCCTATTTGTGATTTTGCCCCTGATTTGGGAATTAGGCATTTATATTTGATCAAATATATTTGGCCCAACTTGCAACTATTTCAATTCAGATTTAATATCCAAAAAAATATTCAAAATTTTGGCAGCGCCTTAGCAGTATTTTGATAGCATTATGACTAGGCCTGGGCGTTCGGTTCTAACCAAAATTTTGGGTCAGTTTTTTGGGCCTTAGCAGTATTTTCGTAGGCAGCATATCAACACAATTTGTATTCTCATCGAACAAAATAGAGAGGAGATTGAGTCTTGTATATACATTATTGAGCACACAAGTGAGGAGATCGAGTATTCGAGTCTCATACTACATACATGCGAGATTCTAGGCTACGGTGACTCCGTTTGTACTGAAGCCAGGCTGCTGCTTCCAGATTTCCTGTCATGCTTCTTCCTTTAGGACCTGGCGGACGCAGGAATCCATGGAGCTTGCCGAATCACCGCCGCTCCCTCGCCTCGCAAGACGCAGCTACTGCAACGGTGTTGCTTGGAGGCTTGCACGGCGGCACCGGCGGATCCGTGGCAAGCCGACAACCCCCACGCTTGCTCTGCTGGTGCGCTCGCTACTCACGCTCGGTGTGGCCTGTGGCGGGCGATGCCGGACGCGTCTTGGTCGACGCCACCGGAGCCCAGCGGCGCCGCCGCGCCGCCGCCTCAAGGCCTGCACACAGACGCCGAGACCATGGCGAAGGCGTTGAGACCTCCCCGTGTCACCGCTGGAGGAAGCTCATACCCGCCGCCGATGCAGCCGGGCCAGGGCTGGAGAGGCACCAGCGCTCAGCGCCTACCGAGGCAGCCCACCTCACTGGTTCTTCCGCCACTTGCCGCCGCCAAGAAGCCATGACCGAAGCCCATGACCGGATGCAGCCACGTCATTTAGACTTGGGATGAGGCGGCCCGTGCTTCTGTTTGGGATGAGGCGATAAGGATAGAGGGCAGTGTGGTCATTTCGCCTTTGCTTTTCAGATTTATAATTTTTTTAATTCGTTTAATCCATGTCCATTTGACGGACGTCTAAAGCAGGGGCAAACGGACCATTCATTTCAAAATAGCAGGGGTAAAAATACAAAGTTGAAAAAGCAGGAGCAAAATCACAATTGGACTACTGGACAAGGGTCAAGAACACAATTTTCCCTAATAGTTGTTCACACGATAGTGACAGCTGTACAGAGCAACAATAGGACTAATAATAACAAAGAAACAATGATCATGAACCCAACAGATAAAGATGGTGTTAGAGCTGACAACAATATTCTTGAATGTAAATTCAAATAACACATTGCACAGATGTAGAGAATACCGTTCGTGTTCACTAATCAAACTACATTGCACTGGTTGAGAATACATCTACAATTTAAATGAAATGCTGCCAATGTGTTCACTCATTGAACCACTACTCCCAGTTTGCAGTTAAAATCATATCAAAGAGCTTGAAATTTTCTCATGTTACAAGCTCACAAGAAAGAGCCTCATATCAATGAAAGCTTCAGCTGAGCAGATTATGATAGGAAACAGAAGAGCAGCTAGAATAAGAACTTACCCACTGATACAGCACGGGTACAACGAGCATAACTGCATTTCATCAATTAACAGTAGACAGATGTTAGGTAAACCAAAGAGTCAGAGAGAGAAAGAGCACTCGAGAGTGAAGAGGAGTTGAACTTACGTGTAGCAAAGATTGTTGGTCAGTAACTGCAGTGCATCAGCAGTAAAATGATTCTCATCATAGAGGACATGGTAATGGGTGGGCCGACTTGTTCCCTGACAAGAAATATTTTTTGACGCTCAATATCTGATAAGTGCTGTTCTGGAAAAGAATGTGCACCGAGGTACCAACATACCTGAATACCAGCATGACTACACAAGTAGAAATCAAACTCAGTTGGATGGCAAATCTGTTGGTCAACCACAGTTCCTGCAGCACAAGTAAGGCACAAAATAACCCCAGATCAACAAATGCTTAACCGGGAAGAATGTTTCCACTTTTATCAGTCATATCACGCCTTCCATGAACCTCAGGGAAAAGCCTTGTGTGATGTCTTTTCTGGACAACCACAAATGTGACTGGAGGTAAATATCCCTCCTCCAAAGAAGCACAAGCCTTGAAACGGAAAGGGACACAACCATTGACATGGGCATACGACAAAGCAAACCATATTTGACAGACAAATTACGACGCTGGAAATCATACCTTTCTGATGGCATCCATTTCATGAAGAAGTACATGGCTGAATTGACCTTCACTTACACCGTCCCTGTATAGGCGTGATAAGTCAAGATACTTCACTCAATAGCGTAGAAAAAATGAACCAAAAACAGGAATCTGGAACACAATACCTATAGAATATTATCCTCTCAGGCCTTCTGTTTGTCTTCCTGCGGAAAGCAATCAGTAGCTCCCTGCAAACAAGACCATGTCAGTTACCCAGATAAACCATTTGATAACTAACAATAGGTCAACTCAGATCAATCAAAAACTTACCTGATCATGCCACCATTAACATTGTGCCCCTTCTGCGGATCCTTAGTGACAGTAAACAAATCTTCTATAATCTCTTGTCGGTGTGGTTGAGCAGAAACCAGGCCTCTGTACTTGGTGATTTCTGGCCAGTCCATTGATGCCACCACCTACACAATTCCAACGAAAGTCAAAGTTAGCAGCATGATAACTTATTTTTACATAGCTTAGATTGCACTAAATTATGAACAGGAATATCACATTGTAAGCAAATCATACAACTGAAATATGAGATAACTTGACAGTTATAAGAAGAAACTAACAGCAGCAATGGATGATGCAGAGTCCTCTCCTGGTGGGTGGGTGGGGGGTGGGGGGGCGGTGACATCTGCGCCAAAGATGATTGTTGGGACTTCTGACACAAAGGGTATGCCATTGCGTACAAAGGCTTGCTCAAGAACCGTGTTGCGCCCACCAACCTGCTTAAATGAAAGGAATTAATACATTCCTGCATGAAAGAACCAAAAAAAAACAACTTAATGCAAAAAATATAGGTTTTTGGACCTTGACATTGATTTTGAGTGCAACATTTTCCAAATATTGCTTGTTTGGCCTGCTAGCATGCTTTGGCAAGCAACACTGAGATACAATTCCAATGTCAGTCTCACAGACTCTTTTGATTTTACCTGCAAAAGTAGGAGAGTCATTTATATAACAAAAATCCTAATAAATTGTAAAGGTGTGTATGACCCAGACCTAGAGACAAGTATGCACACCATAAGAACCACTAACATCAGGCAGAATTACGATTAGAAGCTGCAGCTGATTTCCCACTCCTTGTTGGGCAAGCATTTGTGTGGCTCTCCTGTGTACATCTCTCAAAGCATTCTCTATATGGTTAGGGGCTGCAGACTTGACATCAACAAATGGACGTGGATTGACAACCTACAGGGATGATTAGAAGTTAACTTCAATATATAGTGAACTGTCTGGAATGACTTGAGTGCTAGGTTTGATCTCCCACCAGTTAGGCCCAATGGCCTTTTGGGCCAGTTGTTCATTGCACATATCGGAATTGGTTGGTGGGCCCCGTCACATCTGTACATATAAATAAAGGTGGGGCCGGGCTCTTGATCGAGGTTTACCTGAGCAGCCACTCCCCACCGATATTCCCCATCCCGATCCGGGAGAGGCGCGAAAAGTTCGCCACCGCTCCATTGCGCCACCACTTCATAGACGACTCCTCTCTCCACCGAACGTCATTGTCGGCGCTACTAGAAGGGCATCCGCCAACGAGATCCCGGCCGGCGCTCCCACCACTCCGATTGCTTGACCACTCACGCCTTCGATGGTGCAGACTTCCTACTCCACCTATCCCTTTTTCTTCCTTTTATATCTCGTAGTTCATGCATTAGGTTTTGTGTATATACTGTAAATCTTGAACAAGTATTCCTATTACGATGTATTCCGATCTGATGAATATGAATAAGATGAATCTAACATTGGTATCGGAGCCGGGTTTTATTGAAAAGAAAGATCGAACGAATGAACCAATTTCAGATCGGAAAGAACAGGAACGAACCCTAACCCTAACCCTAACATGAATGAATGAATGGGGTCCTACACTGGCCCTCATCCGCCGGAAAGACGCCATTAGCAAACAAAAGGGTGGAGCCGTCGGCCCTCGCCGACGTGCGGGACTGGAACCCGGACCGACTAACGCGGACGCCGGTCAGGGCACCGACGCAGGGCAACTCGACGACGGCGCGCTCAGCCTTTGGGCAACACGCGCGCAGCTTCTGCGGCGGCGCTACCACCGCTTCTCTCCTCCTCCGCCGCCATGGGTGGCCGCCAATTCTTGCTTGCTGCAAGCGTGGCTAACAGAGAAGAACAAGGGAGGAAGAAGAAGGGCGGGTGGCGGGATTATCCGGGTGTACCTGGCCCGGTGGGTGCCCTTCCTCCTCTAAGGTGGTGGTGATTCGCCATGGGCACCGCCACCTTCTTGCTAATCTTGAGAGGCGGGGAGGAAAGAAAATGACTTCGGGTTTTGGAAACGTCTCAGCCAACGCGGTTTTGATCTGGCGAAAATCAACAAACCGTCGGATATGATGAACGGCTTTCGATCAAGTCATAGCTGAATGATCCCTAGCTACAGCTCTCCTTTGGCCACATTGGGCCGTCTTGAATCATTGCCAACCTGCTCTCTTGGCCAAGAACCATAGCCGGCAGAAACTGGGTGAAGTGAAAAGAAAATTTTTGTTATTATTTTCCAGGAGCAATTTTAATGCATATTTTTTGATGAATTTGAATGATTTTGATACAATTTTTTTTTCTGGGCAAAAATATCGTTTCTGGAAAATAATAATATGAAAGATTATTAATGTTTCCGCTGTGCATGATAATTTTCGTTCTCCTTTGATTAAATTTGAACCAACGGGATAATTTAATTTTAAGAGAAATGATGAATTTCTGATAATTTTTTATGAGATTATGATGTTGTTATTTTCTGACCAACGTTGTTAATAATAATATTATAATTTTGATTCATGAGAAATTGTGCATTAATTTTACTTCTGCCCAACGGTGATGTAAAATGTTTGCATGGATGAATTATAAGTTTTAATTTGACCAACGTTGAGTTAAAGCATGAAATTTTATGTATAAATGTTTCTTACTTACTCTGGTGTGGTTTCAGGAGGCAAATGCATTGTGAACATTACCAACATCCCGACACTCAATGGGACCAATTACCGTGTGTGGCGGAAGAAGTATGAATTGGAACTTGCGTTGAGAGAGGTCAATTTTGCCATCACCTCACCGTGTCCTACTGAGCCAGAGGACCCAGTGAGAGGTGAAAATGAATCTGACACTAATTTCGCTGCTCGAAAGCGTGATCATGCTGAAATAAGAATAAAATATGACCTTGAATATAGGCAATAGACTCTCTCCAACCGCAAGTGCCTGTTGGTGGCCAAGGCCACCATAGAGGAACAAATAAGGGGCTCAATCCCTGAATGTGCTACTGCCACATAATATCTTGAGAAAATCAAGAGTCAGTTTACTGGGTCTACCAAGGCCACAACAAGTTCACTGATTAAGAAGCTTGTGAATGAGAAATTCACTGGTGGTAGCATAAGAGAGCACATTTTGAAGATGAACACTACGGCATCTAAGCTAAAGGAAATGAATTTGAAGGAGGAGGATTTTCTGATTCATTTGATTTTTGCTTCTTTACCAAAAGAATATGACACCTTCATTGTGAATTACAATATGCAGCCTGAAAGATGGGGCATAGAAAGACTCATCTCAATGTGTGCTCAAGAAGAGGAGAGGATAAAGTCCTCACAGGGTGAATCCGCTCATTTTGTGAAGGATAACAAAAGAAAAAAATTTAATGGCAAGAATCCTCCAATTCACAGGGAAAGAAACCCCAGGATTCTGAGAATCAGCAGTATGGTGGAGCTGAAAAAGATCAGTGCAAGCACTGCTTCAAGAAGGGACACTACAAGAGGGATTGTCCAGACTTCCTGAAAATCTCTGCTAAAGAAAGATGATGAATTTATTACATTTGTAGATGAATCACTGTATTTATGTTATGATAAATCCACTTGGTGGGTTGATTCAGGAGCAACTACTCATGTTGCAAATTCCTTACAGGGGTTAAGTGGGACGAGAACCTTGCAAAGAGGAGAAAGAACGATTAAAGTTGCAAATGGAGTGCAAGCCAATGTTGAAGCCATTGGAGTTTTTTCTTTAGAATTGAATAATGGTTTTGTACTTAGACTTAAAGAAGTACTTTATGTTCCCTCTTTGCGTAGAAATTTGATAAGCGTTTCGAAACTTGATGATGATGGAATTGATTGCCACTTTAGTGGTGGCAAGTGTAAGATACTGTTTGATAATAAATGTGTTGGTCTTGCCTTCCGACAAGACAAGCTTTATTTATTATCTCTTGCTGAGAATGCGAACAATGTATGCGATGAGAATGTGAATGATTCCCCATCTGCGAATGTAACTAAGAAGCGGAAGAGAATTGATTATGTCTCTTCGAAATTATGGCATTGTCGCTTGGGCCATATTTTGAGGGGGAGAATAGAATGATTGGTTAAGAAATCAATTCTCCCACACTTAGAATTTTCAGATTTAGAAGAATGTGTTGATTGTATTAAAGGAAAGTATGTCAAGAAAATTAAGAAAGATGTCAAACGAAGCACAAGAATTTTAGAAATAATCCACACAGACATATGCGGTCCTTTTCCTGTGAAAAGTGTGGATGGTTATGATTCGTTTATAACATTCACAGACGACTACTCTCGTTATGGCAATATTTATCCAATTAAAAAAAGATCGGAAGCATTGGATAAATTCAATATATTTAAAGCTGAAGTTGAAAATCAGCACAATAAGAAAATCAAGATAGTACGATCAGACCGAGGTGGAGAGTACTATGGGCGACATACCCCATATGGCCAAATTCCTGGACCGTTTACAAAGTTTCTACAGGAAAATGGCATAGTCGCTCAGTACTCCACACCGGGGGAGCCTCAGCAGAATGGAGTGGCTGAAAGACGTAACCGTACCTTAATGGATATGGTAAGAAGCATGATGAGTTACTCTACATTACCGATTAGTTTATGGATGGAGGCACTGAAAACCGCCATTCACATACTTAATCGAGTACCAAGTAAATCGGTGCCTAAAACACCGTATGAATTATGGACAGAAAGGGAACCCTCACTTAACCATTTGCGTGTGTGGGGCTGTCCGGCTGAGGCAAAAGTGTTTAACCCAAACATAGGAAAGTTAGACTCCAAGACAGTCAGCTGTCATTTTATTGGCTATCCAGAAAGATCGAAAGGATATCGCTTTTATTGTCCTGACAGACATACGAAGATTGTAGATACAAGACACGCTGTGTTCTTGGAGGATAACATGATCAAGGGGAGCATGGTAGCACGAGAAATCAGCCTACAGGAGAAGCGGCTACATGTACCCACTCCGATGGTTGAAGAACCATTCTTCACGCTACCTGTTGCTGTTGCACCGACAGTGCAGGACACTGTAGTGCCAACACCTATTGCAAGTTCTCCCATGGCGACGATGAATGAACATGAGGAACCTGTCCTTGAGGAACCTATCCTTGAGGAACCTATAGAACCAAATGTTGCACATGAGGAAGAAGAACAACCAAATGTGGAACAAGTGCCAGAGGCACCTAGAAGGTCTCAAAGAATAAGAAGATCAGCTATTACTGATGACTATGAAGTTTATGAAACAGAAGAATTTCAGATGGGGGATGATCCCACCTCATTTGAAGAAGCCATGAGAAGTGACCACTCATCAAAGTGGCTTAAGGCCATGGAAGATGAATTGAAATCAATGAGTACCAATAAAGTTTGGGACTTAGAAAATATTCCTAAAGGAGTCAAAACAGTAGACTGTAAATGGGTCTACAAAACGAAATATGACTCCCAAGGGAATATAGAAAGATTTAAAGCACGACTTGTGGCGAAAGGCTTCACGCAAAGAGAAGGGATTGATTACAATGAGACGTTTTCTCCAGTCTCATATAAAGATTCCTTCAGAATTATAATGGCACTTGTAGCCCACTATGATTTGGAGTTACATCAAATGGATGTAAAGACGGCTTTCCTAAATGGGGATTTGGAAGAAAATGTTTATATGGCACAACCGAAAGGTTTTGTCGTAAAATGAAAGGAAAATATGGGATGCCGCCTGAAGAAATCAATCTACGGATTGAAGCAAGCTTCAAGACAGTGGTATTTGAAGTTTGATAGAACGATAAAAGATTTTGGGTTTAAAGAAAATATTGAGGACAATTGCGTTTATGCAAAGTTCAAGAATGGAAAGTACATATTCCTAATTTTGTATGTGGATGATATCTTACTTGCTAGTAGTGATATCAATCTACTAATGGAAACGAAGAAATTCTTGTCCTCAAACTTTGATATAAAAGATCTCGGTGAGGCCTCATTCGTTTTGGGAGTAGAGATTCACCGAGACAGGAGAAAGGGGTTCTAGGATTATCGTAAAAGGCATACATAGAAAAGGTCCTGAAGAAATTTAGTATGCATGCGTGCAGTCCTTCACCTGCTCCTATAGTCAAGGGCGATAGATTTGAGGAACATCAGTGTCCAAAGAACCAATATGAAATTGACCGAATGAGGAACCCGTACCGTATGCTTCAGCTATTGAAAGTTTACAATATGCTCAAGTGTGTACACGCCCTGACCTAGTTTTTGTTACCGGGTTACTTGGCAAATATCAAAAGAATCCAGGAATTGAACATTGGAAATTAGTGAAGAAAGTCCTGCGTTATTTGCAGGGTACGAAAGGCCTCATGCTTACGTATAGAAGATCTGATTCCCTACAGATAGAGGGGTATTCAGATTCTGATTATGTAGGAGATGAAACAAAATCCACGTCAGGATATGTATTTATTCTCGCAGGAGCGGCTATATCGTGGAAAAGCTTCAAACAAACCGTAACTACATCCTCGACAATGTATGCCGAGTTTGTAGCATGCTATGAGGCAACGGGGCAGGTGAATTGGCTGAAGAAATTTATATCCGGATTGAAAGTGATTGATGACATAAATGAACCTATGAGGCTGTATTGTGATAACAACCCAACGGTACAGTGTGCTCACAACAATAGATCAAGTGGTGCTGCCAAACACATTGACATAAAGTACTATGTTGTGAAAGATAAAGTTCGGGATCATATAATAAATCTTGCGCATATAAATACAGACAAAATGCTCGCGGATCCGCTCACAAAGGGCTTACCACCCAACATGTTCAGAGAACACGTAGCCGGCATGGGTTTAAGAGAAAGCCTATGATTCCCGAACATATGAAGGGCCCAAGAGAGAATTTCATTCCAATACGGAGAGGGGTGTTGTGGTTGTTAGTCTAACGGCACTGATTGCTGTGACGATGAGACAGCTCTATGCACTAATCTGTAAAGGAATAGGATAGAAGCAAGAAAAATATGAATTGAAAGTTTTGAGTATGAAATTAAAGAACGAAGAAAAGATGAGAGATCAAGGGGGAGAATGTTAGGTTTGATCTTCCACCAGTTAGGCCCAACGGTCTTTTGGGCCTTGTTCTCGTGCCCTGATCGGGGGCGCCCAACCCTACTTGGTTGGTGGGCCCCCGTCACACAGCGCTATAAATAAAGGTGGGGGCCGGCAGGCTCTTGATACGAGGTTTACCTGAGCAGCCACTCTCCACCGATATTCCCCATCCCGATTCGAGAGGGGCGCAGCCAGTGACGGAAAGCCGCCACCGTCTCCACTGCGCCACCACTTCACTGCACCGACTCCTCTCTCCACCGAACGTCGCTGCCGGCGCGCAGATGGCATCCGCCAACGAGATCCCGGCCGGCGCTTTCACCACTCCGACTGCTTCGACCACTACGGCCTTCGATGGTCTGTGACTTCCTACTCCACCTATCCCTTTTTCTTTCTTTTATATCTCGTAGTTCATGCATTAGGTTTTGTGTATATACTGTAAATCTTGAACAAGTATTCCTATTACGATGTATTCCGATCTGATGAATATGAATAAGATGAATCTAACATTGAGAACACATACAGATAGTAAAGAACTTACCATTCCAGTTGCATTGCACATATGAATCAGATCCATACAGAACCTCTGTACCTCATCAGGTCGCATGCGTGAAAAGTTCAAACAAGTCCAGTTATCAATAGTTCCTGCGTTGATCATTTTCTGGAAAAGGGTACCAGAACAGTGGTAAAAAAAGCTTTGTTACATCTAGAAAGACTGGCTAGAAAATTTGGTAATGATAGTTTCAGCATTAAACAAAAAGACACTACTAAAAGCTTGACAAACATTTCCCAGAAAAAAAAAGATTGACAAACAGTGCACAAAGATGCTGGACAAGTTCATAATAAATTTATTGACAACTATGGCAATGCTCAACTAACTTCAGTGATAAATTTCTAGGTAAGAACATAATCTCACCTTATTGAGAATGTTCCATTGTCCAACACTTGGCGCACAAGTTTTCTCCCTACCAGAGTCATGATATTTCAACTGAAATACAACAAAGAAACTGATTATTCCTCAAAGAATAAAACAAAGGTGATTCCTGGACACTAGTCTTTGAGCAAGGAAAACAAAATTAGCAAAGTTACCAGGGGTGGAGGCAGCACACGGGCTGGAACAGTCACTAGATCACTGCTAACTTTGATGCCAAACTCCTGAGCAAACCTATCATCTGCAAACTTGTTATGCAGAACCATCTATGCAGCACATAAGAAAATTTGTCATTAGAAACGATATCCTGCAGAGATAATAATTATTGTATTAAACAGCAGAGGAACAAGGGTCCAGAAGAGTACATCACGTATGCTCTGCTCCCTGTCCTGGGGACGTTTACATGTTGCTCTAAGTATGTTGGTCACTTGTCTGTCATTAAGCTTCTTAGAGTATCTCTGCCCTTCTAGAATCTTGCAAACCTACAACCATATTTTTTATTAAAACAATGAACTTAACATGAATAATTCAAGGACAGCTGAATGATCATGGATACAGTACCTCCATAGGCAAATATACAGGTCGTGAATCACTGCCAGCCTGAAGGCAAGGCCAAGAACCATACTTCAAACTGTAGTTGTATTTGTCCCAGAAGTACTGCACAACAGTCTTTCTTGTTCCTTTATCATCAACAGGAAATCTAAAATGACAAAAAGGAGCCGTAAGTTCATGACACAGTGTTGACATAGGTCAGATCGTTCCAATTGTGATATAGTAATACTACAGCTATTTAGCAGTTAGTAAGTGATGTGCCAGTAATTCAGAATTAATATTCATTAGTGAAGAATTAATATTCATCAGTGAACACAAATCATAAACGTCAACCTCAGACTGAATATTCTTTCAACATATTTGTTACTCCTAGACCCTGACTTATACTTTGCCTACCCACATACAAACATGCACAAAATACTCAAACTCAAGGCATAACTTGCAAAGATTAATCTTAGCATTAATATTCCAGAACATAAATGCTGTAGAGAGAAGGGAAAAGAAAGGCAGCATTTGCATATAGATACTTACATCAGCTGGCTCATAGGGATGGAAGTAACCCCTGTTATCTTGTATCTTCTGATTTGATCCTGTTGGTGAGTTGTTTCAATGCGAACTCCACGTAATGCTTTCTTTACCTGAACACAATTAATATCATATAAGATCACTCAACAAAAAGGAGCCAATAGGAGGATGTACTGTACAAGAAGCTTTCTAGATTGTCAGTGTGTAAAAACATTACCTTCACACGATCCCTGTCCGACAAAGGCCGAGATGTATCACGCATGTTCAGGCACTCCTCCACAAATTTGATAACTGACACAGGCTTAAAAAAGGATGTTGCTGATATGTCTGCAAAAGGCAACATTAAAACCAATGTTAATTACCAAAACATATCAAACAAAAGGCATGGGCCAACAAAAACATAGACAGGGTATTACCTTTATTCAGTGAAAGCCCCATTTGTGTTGGGCGCAGGCTTTGGTAGTAACCCCTCCAACACTCAAGCCCCTCGCCAATGTCGCCTCTGTGACCAAAAGTAGTAGAGAAAAAGGATCCGGAAACTGTGACATAACTGCAGTGACATTTAACCAAAAAATTGTCAGTGCCCTGGATAAAAGATTACTAAAGCAAAATTCAAAGCAGGAATCTGTGTAGCTATTATACTTCCAAGATGGTGACTCCCTGAGGACAACATCAAGTACTTGTATGGTTTCTTGAGGCATATCCCTCTGTCTTCCACGCAGAAACTGCTGAAGGTGGTACAAATCTGTTCTCCCAGCAATTCGAATTGTGATTTTGTACTCCCTCTCTGCCCTATAAATTGAAAAACATTAATATGTGCAGGTGAGAGATAACTTTCATGTAGTACTGAAAAGTGGATCAAAATAGGATCTAGGAAGACCTTTCTTTCTCCTTTTCTGGATCAACCAGCGTAACCACAAACTCCTCTGATTCAAAAGGAAGTTGTTAGCCCACAGGATCACCGACTCAGGTGAGTCGACCACTCACCAGTCTTGCCGACCACGGCCGGGCACGACAGACGTTGTCCGACCACACACTATGGTCGAGATAGAAGAAGAAAGGGAGAACAGAGCGCACACACAGTACAAGCACCAGCGTTGGCCGGAGCCCTGTATAGGAGATGGCAAATCTGAACTCTCTTTGTTGAGTTACAGTGACAAACTATATATACAACTCTACTCATCTAGTCCTAATACAGCTGCCCTGCTACAACAGTGACTAGATAATACAGCAGGACTGTACAACTCTACTCATCTAGTCCTAATACAGCTGCCCTGCTACAACAGTGACTAGATAATACAAGCAGAGATCGACTTTTATGCTTTGTCCTCAAGATGTGGCTACAAGATCGGCGGGTGAGCCGTTTCAGCCTTTTCCTACCGCTCTCACAACTCTGATGATTGCAGTAGAGCCTTTTAAGGCGTCGCCTTCCCTTTGCTGTGTGTTCACACAAGGAAGCGATGAGATTATCTAACAATTCTTCCCTAATCCTCTCGCTATCCCCTCGCCCCCTCCATGCCGATCATCTCCTTCAGCTCCGTGAGTCGAAGACGTCCGAGCGGCTTGGTGAGGACGTCCGCGAGTTGCCGACCAGTTTCAACGAACTCGATGACGATCTGTCATCCATCAATACAGTCCCTGAGGAAGTGAAACTTTACGTCGATGTGTTTGCTCCGGTTGTGCAGAACCGGATTCTTCGCGAGGGCGATGACGGGCTGGTTGTCCACCATCAGTGCTGGTGGGTGAGCTTCCGTACCGGTCAGCTCGCCCAGCAGCCGTCGTAGCCACACAACTTGGCACGTCGCTGTGGCCGTCGCTACGTACTCTGCCTCGCACATAGATAGCGCCACCACCTTCTGTTTTAGCGACAACCATGAAATTGGAGCCGACCCGAGGAAGACGAGCACTCCAGAGGTGCTCCGCCGTCTGTCGATGTCCCCCGCCACGTCTGCATCGCTGAACACAGTGAGCTGCAGCCTACTCCCGCCGGTCTTAGGGAAGATGATCCCCTGATCCACCGTCCCTTTGACGTAGCACAGTAGCCGCTTCAAAGCAGCCCAGTGATCCTCTCTAGGATCCTCCATAAAGCGACTGACGTAGCCCACGACGAACGCAATGTCCGGCCTCGTGTGGACTAGGTAGCGCAGACCGCCGACGATGCTCCGGTAGAGAGTTGCATCCACCTTCGCCGCGGTGCTGGCCTTCGTCAGCTTTAGGCGCTCCTCCATCGGAGTCACGCATGGTTTACACTCAGCCATGCCGCTCCGCTCCAACAGCTTCGAGGCATACGCGCTCTGACCGAACGTGAGTTCCTCCTTCCCCTGTCTCACCTCGATGCCGAGGTAGTAGGAGAGTGCGTCGAGATCGCTCATTCGAAAATGAGCCACCATCTCGCGCTTGAAGTTGTTGATGTCCTCCGTGCTCCTCCTTTCCCCGTCGCTGCGTGTAGAGCGCGTGCTCGGTTGCGCACCGCTGGAACCCAAGCTCGCCCAGCTTGGCATCAAGCTTGGCGTTCCATGCTTGTGGGGCCTGCCGTAGCCCGTAGAGCGCCTTACGTAGTCGGAGCACCCTGTGCTCCTCTCCCTTGACGACGAAACCTGGAGGTTGCCTGACGAAGACCGTCACCGCCAGCTCGCCATTGAGGAAGGCCGATTTAACGTCCAAGTGATGGACGCGCCAGTCCTTTGTTGCTACCAAGGCTAGTAGCAAACGGACAGACTCAATGCGCGCTACTGGCGCAAAGACTTTCTCGAAGTCTATGCCCTCGCGCTGAACAAAGCCTCGGGCGACGAGGCGCGCCTTGTGTTTGACAATGGCACCGAGCTCGTCCCGCTTGACCTTGTACACCCACTTCAGGCGGATCGGATGGCATCCTGAAGGTGGATCGACGAGCTGCCATGTCTCGTTTTCCTCGACCACCTTCATCTCCTCCAGCATCGCCTGTCGCCAGTTTCCGTCGCGCTCGGCCAGCGCGAACGTGGGTGGTTCCTCTGCGCTGACGAGCAGCAGCTCTTGATCATTGAGCAGCCGACCAGCCAGGCCTGAGGGCCTATGCCACCGCCGATGTCGTCCAGCCTACGGAACCGCACCTCCTCACCTTTGTGGAAGGCATCCACGAACTCAGTGATGTCACTTGGAGGTGAGGCGAACTTGATCAGTGTTGATGGAGTTCCCTGTTCCGCCTGAGTGCTCGGCACAACACCTAGAGTGCTCGGCACCCCGGTTGTAGTTCTCGGCATTACTCCTGGACAGCTCGTCACCACTCCTGGAGTGCTCGGTACACGTCTTGCAGTGGTCGGCACCACTGTATGACCCCTCGGCTCCGCTACGAGAGTGCTCGGCACCCGTCCTGGAAGGATCGCCACCACTGTAGAACCTCCCGGCACCACTCCTGGCGTGCTCGGCATCCCTCCAGGAGTGCTCGGCATCCCTCCCAAAGTGCTCGGCACCGCCCCAGGAGTGCTCGGCTCTGTTGCTGGAGTGCTCGACACCCCTCCTGGAGTGCTTGGCACCTCTTCCCTAGCGTCTCCACCACCGTGGATGACCAGGTGCTCGACGACGAAAGTGTTGGTGAAGCCGCCAGCTTCCCCCGTGCTCGGACTGTTCCAGTCCCAAGCCGCCTTCTCGTCGAAAACGACATTGCGCGAGACAAGCACCTTGTCGCGGCATTTGCCGCTGTCCTTCTTTGCTGTCGCCTGCTCCAGGCGCTCGTCCACCGCCCACAGACAGCCTGTCACATCCTCAATGGTGAGGGTGGACAAGTCCAGCATCGTCTCTATGGAGAGAGCGATATGGATGTACTTTACCGGTACGGAGTGGAGATACTTGGAGATCGCCTCCTCGTCGATGGTGACGCCGTGGTTCTTCAGCTTGCTGATGAGCGTCTGCAGGCGGAGGGAGAAATCCTCCACCGTTTCAACATCCTTGAACTTGAGGTTGGCGTACTCCTGCTTCAGAAGCTGAGCCGTCGCCTTCTTTGCGCGGTCGGAACCGACGCGCATCGCCACAATAGCCTCCCACGCTTCCTTAGCAGAGCTCTTCGCCCCCCAACGGCTCCCTATACTCCACCGGTACAGCAGCGAGGATAGCCTCCAACGCTGACATATCATCTTCCTCATTTTCGGTGCCCTTGTCAACAGGCATTCCAGAGCCGTTGGGCTCTGAGCTTGACCTTCATGGTCACCGACCACTCTCCATAGCCAACTGGTGCCACTGACCTCCCGCACCGTGCGAACAACGACCTCAAATCGTGGTTGGGCAACCACAGCAGTGCCACTGCTGTCGCCCATTTCCGAACCGTTCGTCATCGCCAGCGGTTAGTCTGGCGACGGCGCTTGTAATATATCATAATCTTTTTATTGAGATCAACTAGACCATGGTTTCACACATCACAGCATACAAATAAACACTAAAAAATTAGTATCCTTATTAGTGGAAGAATAATGAAATTCTCATCCTAGATTCAGTAAACAAGACAGCATAACAAGTTACTTATCCTAGGGTTAAGAAAAAATTATAGCAACTTACAATAAAGTATGAAGGAAATTGTCAAGTTCTGGTGGATTGACAAGCCAATTAAACTACTGTGGGATTGAAGAGGATTTGCATTTTGGGGGTGGTGGCCATGGTATTGGTTGCGTTGTGCGGCGGAGCCTGGTAGGCCAATTTGGTTGCGACGCTGCCATGTGGATCCAGTGGCGTGGACTGTTGGCTAGAAAAGGACCCAATCTGGCAGTCGCAATCGCAACGAGTGGATTGACTAGGGTTCTTCCATATTGCTAAGCTGCGGCAGGGGAGAGCGCGCCAACAAAACATCGCTCAAGACGCCTTTTTCTTTGAGTCGATCCGAGCTCGGCGGCGGCAAAGAAGAGAGAGCGCATGGGGCAGTGGGGAGAGGAAGTGTAACTTTACTGTTTATCATACTCCTCACGTTTTTCAGGTTATTACACTTGTAAACAGGACAGAAAAGATAATAAAACAACTTAACAGTAGAACAAATCTACTTAAATAACTCAAACAGAGATAGCAAACAGATCATTTGTTAAAGAAGCTTTAACTTGAAACACTTCCTTAAAAATTTACGGCAGTGATATAATAAAATTACAAACTTAAAGATATATACACTTCGTTGGCTACTAATAATTGGGGGAAAAAACTCGAAACATTTGTAAAACGCGTTTCACCGAGAAACCCTTTGGTCGAGAATTTACTATGTTCAAAAGGCATCGATCATTTATGTAGCAAAGAAAAGTTACTGCCCTCTAGACAAGAACATATGGTAAATTTTTGTATAGTCAATCGAAGATGAGAAAACTCCAAGAAAAGTTCAAAAAAGGAACAACACAAAGAATCTCCCCCTCTCGTAACAGACAGGCCCGTCGAGGGGCTCCACGGCCAGGTCTCCTGGCCAAACTTTGGAACTATATGCTGCATTGCTGCACGACATTGAGGGTCACTGTAGAAAACCCCACAATGGCTCTGTTCGCTGATCTGAAACTTGACTGAAACTGGCTGGTTGTTGTGAGAGAGAAACACCGTAGCGGCTGGTTGATGAACAATGTTTTGTGAGGAGGAGGAGCCTGGTCTGGAAGAACCAGACCAGCGAACGCGCCCAATGGATCTGACCGTGTTCTGAAAGCAAAAGTCCAGCTGGTACGCTTCAAAACCAAGAGATCGGCACAAAGAAGGGCAAAGGCCCCGTTCGCGTGCCCTTAAACCCGGCTTGATCCGCTTATTTTTTCATCCAGAACAGTGTTTTTCTCTCATAAATTCCTTCAGCATTCCTCAAAACCATCCAGATTCCTCCAGAATTCAGACAAGCAAATAGACCCAAAATTTAAAAAGAGGACAAAAGTGACATAGATGCCAAATATGTACTGCATGCAAGGCGGTGTTTAGTTGGGCAAAGTTTGGGGACAAACTTTGCATAATGAAGATTCTCTACTGTAGCATTTCGTTTGTATTTGTGAATTATTGTCCAAAAATTGACTAATTAGGCTCAAAAGATTTGTCTCGCAAAGTTAAAGCAAACTGTGCAATTAGTTTTTGATTTCGTCTATATTTAGTACTCCATACATATACCGCAAGTTTGATGTGACGGGGAATCTTCTTTTTACATAGTGTACTTTTTAGGAGTTTGGAGGAACTAAGGGGGCGTTTAGATTTGAATTTTTTTTGCACAGTACCCGTCACATCGAATCTTGCGGCACATGCATGGAGTACTAAATATAGATGAAAAAAAACTAATTGCACAGTTGGGTGAGAAATCGCGAGATAAAACTTTTGAATCTAATTAGTCCATAATTAGACACTAATTACCAAATATAAACGAAATGCCTAAAAAAATTTGGATCTAAACGCCCCCTAAACAAGGGCCAAGAACGCAGCAGCTGTTTCATCAAAAACATCTGCTCCAATGGCAGGCAAACAGGACACATCCCCAACTTGATACACCCGTCTGAAGAAGCTGCAGGGTTGATATGCATGACGATGCATCTGCATTATTGCTTCTCCAGATTTTGGTTCATAGAAATGGATGGCCATCTCTCACACTAGCAAGAACCACATATGGAACTGAAAGCAAGTTCCATGTATACAAAGCTCAAGTCAAAAAGGTAAAACCAAGCAGCACAAAAACTGCATCTGACAGATCAGTTAGGAAAGAAGAAAAAGGAAAAGAGATCGAGACAGCACGGCTGGGGCCTTTCAGCCGTTCAGCGCAACAATGAACCGTTTTGGAGTATGTGTTGCACGACACGAGGCTCACTTGCAAGCCGAGAGAGAGATTTTTAATTCGACAGTGTCAAAAACTATCTAATTTCAAATGAAACAAGACGCAAATTAAAGATTCGAAAAGAAAATCCCTACTGCTGAAATCTGAAAAGCCTTGTGCTCAAACGACAGCCAACAAAAGAACACGCAGCAAACGGGTGCAACCGAGCAAGACGCAGATACGATTTTCCAACGCATCTGTGCAATGATGATTTTTCCGATTTCATGTTTGCTGTGTTTAGTTCGTGAAATTTGAGAATTTAGCTACTGTAGCACTTTCATTTTTATTTAGCAATTAGTGTTTAATCATTGACTAATTAGGCTCAAAACATTCATCTCGCGATTTCCAACCAAACTGTGCAATTAGTTTTTTTCCGTCTATATTTAATGCTCTGTGTACGTATCGAAAGATTTGAAGCATTTTGGGAAAGTTTTTGGAACTGATCACAGCCTCAGGCTTGCCATCTTTCGCGCAAGAACCTTTTACGGAACAGGGCACTGATCGATCTGCAGTCCACTTCCTCGATTCAAGAAACAACAATCCAAAAAACAAGAGCAGAAATCGTTGCAGAGAAAGCCTGCCATTTCTTTTCAAAAGCATGGGTGCTGATTGCAGAACAACCTCTCATGACTGTAGAGATGTGGCCAGATGAATAGCAGTCCCATCACCGAGGCAACAGCACCATGGACAAGAAACCGAAGCAAATTAAAGAGAAAACACAGGCTTTAGCGCACAGAGCCACGAACAGAAGCCCCACATGAACGTGCATAGCATAGCACTGGAAACGCAAGATGTTCATATGCTAGTAGGCCAACGTTCCACGGATAGCCAATTACAAACGAGAAACCACAAGAACAAGCAGCAGAAACACTGAATCTGACGGATCAAGAACAAAAAAAAGCAAGAACCAAAACGAGAGCAGACCATCATCACATGCTATCACGTGGGGCGTGTTCAGCTGGCTGGCTGGTTGCCGCGGTTGGGCTGGTCAGCCCACTCACGCGGGCACTATTCACATAAACCGTGTCTTTCAGATAGAACATTATTTTTCTCTCACAACAAACCAGCTAGAACAGTATTTTGGCTTAACAAACCAGCTGAAACAGTATTTTGGCTTATTCAACCCGCCTGCCGGACACTCCCTGGTCTGCTCACGCGCGCACACAGGACTACCAGATCTTACCAAGCATGCATGGATACGAGAAGATACTAGTACATGAGGGGGGAGATGGGAAGGAGGAGGGCTAGCTCACATCATAGTGGAACAAGTCGTTGTCGGCGACGTTGACGAGGAAGTGGTTCGCGCGGATCATCACCTTCTTCCCCACGGTGGCGAGGTCCGACGCGTCGTCCGCGCCGGTAGCAGCCGTCCCGTGCGCTGCCGCCGCCGCCGCCGCCGCCGCCGCGGGCGGCGCCAGCGCGGTCTCGGAGACGAACAGCTTCTTCTCGGCCTCCTTCGCCAGGGCCGCGGGCGACGGCGCGGAGGAGGCGGCGGGTCCGGCTCGGACGCCGGCGTGGAGGCGCTCTGCGGCGTGGGCTGGCGTGGAGGCGCCGGAGTGGAAGACGGAGCAGCCGGCGACGTCGTCATCGAGGATGGTGGCGGCGCCCTGATAGTGACCGGGGCTGCCGGAGGCGCAGGCGAGAAGGAGACCTGGGAGGCCGCTGGCGCGAGCGCCCTGAAGACGGCCGCTTGCCCGGACGGCCGGTACACGGCCATCGGCACCCCGTACGCGCCCTCGTGCGGCATCACCATGGGCCCGCGGTAGCCCATCGGCACCGGGAGCAGGTACGGCGCCGGCGTCACCGGCGTCACCGGCGCGGAGTGGAAGGCGGTGGCGGCCAGATGAAGGGCCGGCCTCCGCCTCCGCCGCCACCACCGCCGCCTCCGGATCCCCCGGCTTCTCCGTGGCCATACGGCGGGCGCCGCCGCGGCCTCCTCCTCGGCCGCCGCCGCCGCGGTAAGCCATGGGAGAAGGAGAAGCAGAGGCTCTGGGGTTGGTGGTTTCCCTTGGCTGTGTATAGGAACGAGGGAAAGCAGCGGAGAGGGGAGCGGAGCGGGTGAGCAGGTGAGGGGGAGAGAGGGTCGCTATATAGGCGGAGGGGGCGAGGAAACCCCATGAGCCGGGGCGTGCAGCACGTACGCCATCTCCACTCTCCACTCTCCACTCACCGCAACGGTAGCTTTACCGCGCTCTGTGTGTGTCCGTACGAGCGCCTAATCATGATTAGTGACTGACTTGACGATCAAGGAATATTAATTAATGCAACAGAAGCCACGGGATGATTAGGTCTTTCTTAATTCCTTTAGTAGGGCCCAGGGTCTTTGTTAATTAACAAGATCGGCTAGATGCTTGGATCCAGGTGGTGCATGGGTGTATATGGACATGGTGCACACATGCACGGACAACACAAAGGAGTGGTGTGAGAATGAGAATAGACCTTTTTGCCCTTGAGAACCATATCTGGTCATCTGTGGGCGTGAATAGCAGTTAGCCCCTCAGGTTTTCCATATATGAAGCTGACTATGATTCCTCGCTTCCTCTCAAGTTTAAAATGTGCCAAACGAACTAGCCCTCAAGATTTTTCGCCAAAAAAAACTAGTCCTCAAGATTTTTTTTTTGGTTTTAGCTTTGTTTCAGATCTGCTAGGTTGAGAGTTGGCTTGCCATGCACATGTGTCACTCCATGTCAACACCCAGACATAAAATCATGCGTGGTTACTTGCAGAATAATAAGACAATATTATGCAAAAGCCCCAAGAATCAAATTCATTCGATAATCAAATGTAGTTACTTGGTTAAGCATAGTATTCGATTTGAACCGGCTAGCATTCCATTTCCATTTGAACGTTATCATCCGGACCTGGACACACACTCCACGTACGGTGCAAATTCCAGTTTGAATCAACAGTTGAACAGTCTCATCTCATCTCTCCGCTGGGGAGAGGCCACACGTATGGCTGCAAGGTAGCAAGGCCACATGGCCGCACGGGGCTGGCTGCAGGCGCTGCAGGGAGGACTGCCAGTGCCAGCAGAGAGCAGCTGGTCGGGGGACTGCTGCATGCATGCAGGCGCGCGTCCCGCCAAGGGCGAGCGCGGACGCGAAGACTCCTTTTGCCGGGCACTCGGCGTCGCGCGCGAGCCACCGTATCGTACGCACATACCGTCTCCGTGAAAGCGCTCCGCGGGTTGGTGGTGGGGAAAGCATGCATGCATGCCGTTGCCGTTGCCGTGCGCAGGCGACGAGGGATGGCAATGGCACAGCGCAGCACGCTCTCGATTCGATCGTCTCGTCCTCTCTCAGCTCGCACGCTCGGCTCGCACGTACGTGAATACGGCCGTTCAGCATGCGACACGTACGAGATCTCGAGGCCGGACCGCCTGAGCCCCTTTGGTACAAATCTTCTTTTCCACCATGGTGATGGATTTTGTTAAATTGCCTTGGATAATTCAATGCTACACGTGCTATCATTCCATGGAGTTGCCCTTATTTTTTGATACACTATGAAACTACTGTAACTCGAATGTATGGATATTCTTGTCATTATGTTTATCAATTAATCATGGTATTGATTTTTTTCAGTTCTTTTGGTTGAAATAAGTTTGTCGCAGTAATTTTCTCATCGTATATTATATTTTCTCATAATTTTCGTTGATCTTTTTTTCTCTATTTTTTTGATATATATATTTTTTTAATTTGTGCACTTGTTTTAGTTTCCTTGCTCCCATATTCTCTTTCCTTGTTAAAAAAGAATTACGGGAAAGCAAGTGCTTTTGTTAGCCCAAGGATTCTCTGGCTATAGTTTACGTTTACTCGTTCAAATCAACAAACACACCCTGGGCTAATCAGCCCTGCTTCCAAACGATGGGACCCGCGGTGGCAAAGGCAGCACTGCAGGACCCGCGGTGTAGAGAGAGGCTTCGTGAGCCGAGTTCATCTAGCGATCCGGCAGCGATGGAGAGGCCTGATCTTTTCGTCAGGCGATCGCGCGGGCCAGGGCCGCCATAGCTTGCCGTCTCCGTGAAAGCGCTCTGCGGGTTAGTGTAGTGGTGGGGAAATAAAACTGGATGCGTACAATGGATCGGAACAACACTAGACCTGGCAATGCGGATGCACATCCAATTAAGTCCATCCAACGAAATTCAATAGAGCAACTAAACTTACGGACTTGAATGGATGACGAAATATAAACGCAGAATCAAAGATAGAGCCGCAAATCAAACACACATGCAGTTCATCCAGAATCATCATCAACATACGGATAGTAGGCAAAGACGACAGATAGTAACATAACAGTCACCATACACGAACTCAGATGACAAAGGATAGATCAATCACCATACAAACTCAGATCCATCCACCCTAACATGACAGTACTGGTAGAGATACCATAAAACTCAGCATATGATACTATAATACTAGTAGTAGCATATGAAGATAACTAGTCACACCACCCCGGCTTGCTTTTCCCTCCTACGGGGCCACGCCGTCGACGGCCTGTGGAGCCTCCTCAGCCGCCGCCGCCTCCTTCCTCCCTCACGAGAAAGAACCTGCTCCCCGCCGCGGATGGGCTTCTCGACGATGAACACCTCGGTGCCCCCGCCCTCCTTGACCATGACGCCGACCTTCTTCGACTTCGCCATCTTGGCGAGCGTGCGTGCGACTGCCGCGCCGGCGGATGTGCGCTGCCGCGGGGTCGGCTTCGTGCAGCGGGAGGGGCGGGGTACTTATCCATGGGCTGAGGGCGGCACGGGTCAAGCGGATGACTGTGGTGGGATGGCAGAGACGGAAGCAGATGGGTGGGAAGTGGGATGCCGATGCGAGAGAGAGGGATTGGGGATGGGGACGTTGGTCGGAAGATACTCGAGGCGAGGCACTCGATGACGGAAGCTAAATGCAGTACTACAAATCCAATTTAGGGCCTGTTTGGGTACCATGTACTAAATTTTAGTTGTCTAAAGTTAATTAAGTCCATGATATCCAAACATGTGAATAAAGAATGAACTAATCTTTAGTTTTCAATTCTACTAGCAATTATTTCATTAATTAGTTGGCAAAGGTGAACTCATACGGTGATACGGACTAAAAGGTGCAAATGATTTTTTGTACAGGTACTTTACTTGTTTTTAATTCACTTTAAGTCCTAGTATCCAAAAACACTAGACCAAATTTTATGCACATAAACTTTTAAATTTTAGTTCTAGTTGGTCCAAACAAATCCTTAGCTATATGTCGTGGTCCCACTAGACATCCACGCAATTTTATTTCTCAGTTTCTTTTTGTTCTCCTTTTATTCTTTCATTCCTTTTTTATTTTCATATTAACAACCCATGTCTCTTCTATATACTATAAACAATTTTTTACATTTAGAAGTCCGTCTACAAAAAAAAAATTTATAATTTTTTTCAAAAATAAAGATGTTGAAGAACAAAAACTTATATGTACAAGTTACGTTGTTCGTAAATTCATTATATAAAAGTTGCGCTAGATATGGTATGTTGAGAAATCCTAATAAAATGTTTGGCCACTGATAAAATTATTATAGGGTGTGTCTCTGTGGCAGATGTCTCATGGTTTGCTTAATACCATCAGTCACCACCCCCACCTGTCTTCTCTGTTCATGGGTGTGTCCAGGTGACCGATGGTTTGCTTAACCATCAGTCACCTCCTCCGCCCACCCGTCTTCTCCATCTTCTCCCCCTTTCTTCTTGCTTTCTAGCGCCTTGCCTTGGAGGGAAGTAAGCGTCGGCAAGCAAGATGGGAGGGGACTTGGGTTCTCGGTGTCGAGGACGGCAGCCATGACGCGGTCGGATGCGCTGCATCCTACGCGGGCCCCAGTTCATCCACGCATCCTCGCGGTAATGCAGGTCGGAGAATAGGACCACCTTGAACACTCCTCCTGCCCCGAACCGCAGCAGCGGCTGCCCCTGCGCGTGCTCTGTCGCGCGGACGCAGACTGGCCACCGTGAGTGCCAGCACGGCGGCGAGCAGGGTGGCGCCGGCAGCCACGAGGCCGTGCCACGTTGTACCGTGTAATTCTCAAAAAAAAATCCATATGACCCACGCAGCATGCATATGTGCATGCATATTAGATCCAAATATCTAATCAATAATTCCTAATTGCTTCCTTTTCCTATTTCAAAAAAATATTTTTTTTCTTCTATTACCTCATTGTAGGAGGTAATATGTGATAATTACTATCCAAATCAACGGTCCACAACTATTTAAGAGTACCATAGCAAAACCCTTTTAAAAACAAACCATATATTAATCAACGTGCACACCGGTGCACTTCTCACAAAGTAACAAAATTACACCCCCTCCACAAAATAAGGAATCTTCTTAGAAGAATACAATAATGCAACCTAAAACTATTGAAGCTACGGTGTACAGTAACAACCTCTTTGTACACTCTGACCCAAATACTGATTGTCGGACAACGGGTACATGTTCATTCACAGTCGTATCAGGAGCATTGTAGTTCGAATTAGCTAAAATCTTTCTCCTCTTCTTCATGTCTAGCCTTCGCCTCTTTAGAGCTTCCTTTAAGGGCATCCGCAAGATATGACTCTTGATGTCAATATCGTAAACATTTGCACATGGCACCAAATAGTACAATCCTACTTGCAGGCGCCGATGCTTGTATATGGCAAGGGACCGGTTAACAGAGTCTATCAGACGGTTAATGTTAGCCCGTTCCTCTTTATAGGCTACCCACCGTAGCATCCCCTTAGATTTGAGATCATCATATTTGTCTTTCAACATTCTCATCCCGACACGCTGCATTATTTCGCGACCCAATGATGTCATTTTGAGTAGTTCATCTTGGTGACCGTATTTGCGTGTCCCAAGCTTGTCTTTAACATATATACCAGATTTCTTTCCTCTCAGCTTAAACACAATCTTCCAAGGTCCTCGTCTGCAAATTAGACATATACTATAAGCCACCACCTAGTAGTGATGTAATA